TAAAACGCTCTGTCATAGAGACAGAAGAGACCTATTTTTGATAAGTGTTGGAAGATGCTTCTGCTGCAACCTCAACGGCCTTCGTGACGAGCCTGAACGCAGTCATACGGACTGACTCCGAGGAGCAGCCCTCTGTGAATTTCTGTCTTATTATTTTTAATATTTTCTTTTGTCCTTATAGATGGAGGTTTTCCTGACATACTAAGCAGAAGTGTTTTGTGAGGTTGCAGCATCTTTTTAAAGCTGCTTTAATCACTATTATATTCTTTAATATTACTTGTGTCATGTCTGAAATTTGGAATTTGATAAAGTATTTCATTATAATGGAACATTTAGATTTTTAAGCATGCATACTTAAACCGGTGTGCTGCTCAGGTGTGCTAATCATCTTATCTCAGAGGTTGTTTTTTTTTTTTCTTTTCATAAAACCTCTTTGGTGTTTTAGACTCTCGTGAAAACGGAGAAACTGGTAACATTTCCGTTTCGGACAGTTGAGTATCGTCTGCTCCAAAGTGAAAATGTTTAAATGAGCCATTATTGTTCTGCCTCTGGCCTGAACTCAAGGCTAGCCCGGACACCGGTCTTCCGTTTCCACTTTTTGTTTTCTTTTTCTTTTAGATTTTTGGAACGACAAAAGTCGCCCAACACTCCGAGATGAGAAACGTGCGTCGCTTTACGTTCGAGACGCGCTCATTTTCGTTACATATAACTCCCCCTACAAAGTAGTCCAGTGAAAGTTCTGGTGCAGTTCATCTGATTCTAACTTTTTGTATTTTCTTTTTATTACAGTAACATATTTATTAAAACATGACGTGGGTAGCCAGTTTTAAGCTTAATTTTATACTAGCTTCGGTTTTTCTGAGTTATCGGGATCTCTTTTTTTGTTCTTGTTGTTTCTAAGCAGAGAATTTAACAGAGCCTTAAATTTCTCCTCATCCCCCCTGCACCCTTTTGTCATTTGTCTTTTTATTTTCTCTAAGATAAACCACTGTAATTATTTGAAAATAAACATGCTGGAACTTCTGTTTTTGTGATGACACTCAGATAAAGTATTATCTTTAAATGAGACACGAGCACCGGCTGATTATTTCGGATGTCGGAGTGGAGCAAGTTGATTTTGAGTTAAAGATGAACCTTTCCACTGCTTACAGTTGACTCAATATATTAGAATGTTATTAAAAAGTGAATTAGTGGATGTGCTGTGTGTTAAGCACAACACACATATAGAGGCCTCAGTCCTTGACGCAGGTTCAATTCCTGGCCTTGCGGTGTTTGCCGCATGTCTTCTCCCTCTCTCATATCCCTCTTTCCTGTCACTTGAGCCAATAAAAAAGTAGAAAACTTCATGAAATGAGCAAAAACTTTGTCCAAATTATCGACCCTGTATTATTGAGACTTTTTTCTCAGTTGTGGGATAAAAGTAAAAATGATCTGAATTCTAACTTTAATCTGAGAATTTTAAGAATTCTGGAATTTAGAATTTAATCTAAATTCAGACTTTTTTTTTTTGCAGAATTTTGGGATTAAAGTCAAAAGTCTCAGAATTTTGAGTTTAAACCCATTTTTTTATTATTATTATTATATTTTTTTTAAGAACTCTGACTTTTTTGTTAGTATTTTAATCCCAGAGTTCAACCTTTTTTTTTCATTTTTTTTTTCAGAATTTTAGGATTAAAGTCAAAAGTCAGAATTTTGAGTTTATTTTTTTAAGAATTCTGACTTTTTTTTTCTCAGAATTTTTACTTTAAAAAATCCATGACCAGAGCTTTTTTTTCTTCATTTTTCTTATGTTATTATTTTCTATCTGCTCTATTTAGCTCTGGAACTACAATATTTCACCCCATTCTAACATACAATATATTTGCATGTCCGACTTTTTTAGTCTCATCGTTGGTTTTTTAGGATTTGGAAAAGCGAAACCTGAATTTCTTATTTTGTAGCCATGTAATTAGTATTTATTTTTTCTACTTTAGTTTTTAAAATACCAGAATTTGGACTTAACTTTACATTTTTGTCTGTCTGATAGCATTCTTAACTATTGAATCAGATGTTAACTAGTAAATCAGTACTTCAGTAGCTTTTTAACTAGATACTTTTTTTTACTATTAAGTAATTTCTTGAATGGCTGTTTTTTTACTTTTACAATTATATGCACCAAAATATTCAGCATGAATTCATGAAACTGCCACATTTTTCAGCTTTAATGGGTTCTTTGTTTCTTTCCACATCTCTTTATGCAGCGAGGGAGATGCGGATTGAAAACATGCAGATTCAATCTGTTCAAGACAACAGAAGCCTGTTCAGATCAGGTCTTGCAGCATTCCCATCAAACAGTGGGAGGAACACCAAGGCTGCTCTTTCATTTGATCGACATGAACTGGTTCAGTTATGGGTGGAATGTGAATAGTTTTGCAGTGATTTTAAAGATTGATCTCCAAACTCCTTGATGGAAACAAGTTTTCCTTTTGTTCTGATTTGTGCTGCGTTAATCTGGGTCCACACGGCGAGAATCACCACCGACTCTCAGTACTGGCTTTGGCCCGCGGTGTCAAGCTGAGGTCAGTGAGCTGCAATGAAACAGAGATAAAATTTAAAAAATGTGACCGTTCATCCAGATTTAGGGATGTTATCCTGGGTTTTTCCAAAAGCAGAAATGTGCAGTTTATTCATCGCTGACCGTAAGCCAACAATGTAAGAATTTAGATGAGACCAGAGTACCCAAAAAATTGTAAACAAATGAGGTTAGCACTACTTCAACATATTTTTACTCAAGTAATAAAAGTAGCCATCCAAGAAATAATTGGAGGTGAAACGGATGCTGACCTGTCAGCTGTTTCATATTGCCATGGTAACCCTGTGAGTATAAAAACGTGTTTTCTTATGACGTCACTTTTCATGAACGTTGTAACTGACAGCCATCTTGGCAGGCAGTTGCTTTGGAGTTGCTATGACAGTAATGAACATACCACAAGCTTTGAACTTTCTGCCTCTCTCCTCAAATTTACATAATAAACAATATAAGCACATTACAATGATTAGTCGATTACAATTTTTGAGAAGTCATAGTATATTTATTTACTGGTGTGTAAATATCAGTAGACTATAGTAGCCTACTACTCAAATAAAAGTATGAAAACTACTCTTAAAAGTTTGTTTTTAAAGTTACTCAAATATAACTTCTTACTTCTAAACTAAATACCAATGAATTTGTACTATGTCTTTGTTGGAGAAAATAGAACATTTTTGACAGCAGGAATGAAGAAAATTAGACCGTATATTGTTGTGCACCAAGGGCAAATGAATATCTCTTAGCTTTTGGTCATATGCAGGTCAAAATTATAGGTTTTATGAAGGTGTAGCTTGGATGAAGTTTTCAGAATAAGAAGTAAAAAATAAACTGATAACTGAAGTGTCATCTTAACAAAAAACAGTTCAGATTTTCACTAGACCACAAGGGGGCGACAACAGCAGGCCATCACCTCGAAACTAAAATAAAAGTTGAACTAAACACTGACAATTTATGCATGTATCCTAAAAATTCTAACATCAGTGCAATAAAATAAATCTAAGTCTAATTTAAAACTCATAGCACAAGCTGTAATGGTACTGTTATAATGGCTCCTTGTAGCTCAGTGAATAGACTTTAAAATGTTGTTAGTTTATAAATCATACAAAAGCTCAGCACCAAAATGCATGAAATATTTGATGCTATTGTATCAACCTTCCAGACCTCTCAGGTCTTCTGGTTCTGGTCTGCTCTTTATCTCCAGAACCAGAACCAAACATGGAGAAGCAACATTTGAACCATAATAAATGGAACATTGACCAATATGTTCTTGTATTGATTATTTTAATGATGGCATTCATCAAAATGTAATATTTGTTACTGGTTTCTCATTTTTTGTTGATATGTTGTTTTATGTCTTTTGCTGAAATGCGCTTTACAAGTAAAACTGATTAATGGATTGATTGAAAAAAGAAAAGCACATGACATTATTTCTAGTTTATAATTAAGCCCTACTTTCATGAACTCCAGTAATATAAATAGAAACTTGTGGTTGATAGCCACATGCAACAGAAACATCTATATAACCCTCCGATGTGTTTGTATTAGCCACTAGCTCTTCTGTATTTTAAAGAAAAATCCTCAGCAATGACAATCCGCCCACACACAGCTCTACTGTCAGTGTCATGTACAAACCTGTGCCCTGATTGCTGTTTGGATTTCCGTCAGCAGGTCCGCCTGCATTCAGTAGGTACAAGCCATCTATACATCACAGCCACTCCTCTGAGCTGTCAGTCTGGAGTGACAGCTTGGCAATAACTAAAGAGGACAGAGGACGCCTTCAGAGTGACAAGGCACTCATGCAATGTCACATATACATGAAGGAGCTGTATTGAAAATAAGGGTAGGCAGTCCTCTGTCCCAGATGTCTAAACAAATAAAAATCTAGAGTAAGCACCCGAGCCTTGACAATTCATAGGCAGTTAAAATTGATTCGTGCTGGAAGCCATGCAAATATTGTGTGCTGTATTCTACTCAAAGTCTTCACTGGAACACCACAAAAAGTCACAGCTGTGAGTTTTGTAGACTGTACTCTACAGCTTCAGTTTTAGTTAGAATAAGAATTCCTTTACTCTCATTGTGCAAGAAAACATTTTTTAAAAATAGCAACTCTTGAAGTGCAAATGGTCAAGTAAATAAACATAATGTTTAAAAATATTTTAAAAATAAATATAAAAAACATACATAGCAGAGGAAAAAAACAGAAACAGTTGTTGGGTAGAAACAATTCTTTAGTTGTTCTTGCCGTTGTTGCCCTGAAATACTTTCCTCAGGATAAAATGAAATATAATTTCAGTTTTGTACCGTCATAACGACAGTTCTTCATAAAAGAAAATGCGTCGTTTAAATTTATCTTCCTATTTTTGCAAGGTTTACCTTTATTTCAGATTTTTTTTTGTTCCTCCAAAATTCAAGTGTCTGCAACTAAGGCCTCCGGCCTTCAGATGGCGACATTGTGCGTCTCATGGATGCTGGTGACGTGATGACGTTTGAAGCGGAAGCAGCGGAAGTTAGGTCTGTGCTTTGTAAGATGAAGATAAACAAGCTGGAATTTTAACTTAGGGTAAGAAGTGAGGTTTTAAAACCGGAGTAGACATGAAGACGGTGTTCGTTACCGTCGGAACCACGCGCTTTGATGAGCTGATCGAAAACGTCACTTCCTCTGAGGCCACACAGGTGAGCAGGCGTCTTATAAGTCTGGAATCGAGCTGAAATTGATGTTTTAGTACTAAAATGGTGGGGGTTTTTTGTTTGTTTTTTTCTTGCTTCCTCTCTCAGGTGCTGAAGTTTCGGGGATATGAGCGTCTGGTTCTTCAGGTCGGAAAAGGATCTTTGCTTCCAGATGCCGACAGCTGTGCTCACCTGAGCGTGGAGGCTTTTCGCTTCAAAGACTCAATAGCAGAAGACATGAAGCAAGCTGATCTTGTCATCAGCCATGCAGGTAATTCAGGGGCAAAGACCTTTTAAAAACAAAACAAAGTCATCAGTTGCGTATTTTACGTCTCGTTTAAATGACACTTTGGTTATTCTACACAAATAATCGATTGTAGCGGCTTTGTTGTGCTATAATTTTTCATTATTACCCGATGCTTAAGGGGATTAATATTAAACAAGCCTGCGCACCGATAAGACTAATTATGTCTCTGTTTCAGTCTGAAAACTAGACTGAAACAACAATAGGTTTTGTACAGTTTATAAGACTGTACAAAACTTTTTTTTTCACAAAATCATCCTTTTTAGATATTTTAGTCTGGTCTGTCTGCCCTAATTTGAGCTTCTTCCAGAATGAGCTGTTTTTGGGTCTTGTCACTTTAAATCCAACTAAGCTGCAGGTGGTCATTAAACTAAACCATTGATACATGAAAATGGCTGGGTACAGATGCACAATTATACAACTGTACATATTTGAAAAGCAGAAGTGGAGACTCCAGCACAACCAACAAGACCTCAGAAAGTGTTTTTTGTAAGTCAACACCAAAACACTTGTCCTTTCCAGCAGCCTTTGTACAGTACATATGGCATTTAAATCAGCTGACCAAACTTTCTGGAGCTCCACTAGGTAACAACATAGTGCCCATTGACTCTAAATTAACAATCAGGAGGATTTTTAAATGGCTAATTTCCAGACACCAAAAAACATCTGTTTGTTTTTGTTTTTTTTAACCACTCAGGCTGTTTTTAGATGTAGTTGAGACCTAAATGGAAGTATAAAATGTGCAAAATATTAACTTCCTTTAGCATGAAATCCTGACTTATGGATTCTAATATTTACTCTAGGAATTAAAACTAAGTCTAACAATTTGGACAATTTTAATTCTTTTTTACTTTTTAAAACTTCCTTTCAGGAGCAGGAAGTTGTCTGGAGGCTCTCGGCGCAGGCAAACCTCTGCTAGTTGTGGTCAATGACAAACTGATGGACAACCATCAGCTGGAGCTGGCCCGGCAGCTGGCCATGGACCACCACCTGCTGTACTGCACATGCAGGTATGTCTGTCTCACACGCCTGTCACCAGAGTAATGCTGTGAAGCCAACCAGCATTAACGGTGTGTGCTTATGTCCAGCACTCTGACGGAAACGCTGAAGAACATGGACCTCTCTGTTCTGCAGCCGTTCACGCCTGGACAGCCGAAGAACTTTGCAAACTTTTTAGATAAAGCCCTCGGAGTGAAATGACTTTTTAATGCCACAATGCTGTGGATTATGTTACACATGAAAGTGCTGACTCTACATTGTGAAAGATGTATGTTACAGGTGTGTTTATATGTATATAAATATCAGTAATGAGATCCTATGAATGTTCAGTCTATTAATATTTTCATTTTAAAATGACTTTACAGTTTAATACTTCCTCAGCCTGAGGGCTTGTGACAAAGCTTTGCAGAAACTGTTAAGTAAAGCATTAAATCGACTGTAAAATCACCATCAGTAAGGTGACTGAACTTAGAAATCTTTATGCAGTTCATGCATTTTGTCAATGAGTTTGACCTCTGCAGCCTTGCTCATAAACAAAGAAGGTCAAAACTAATGATAACGCTCAGTTTTAGACTAAATAACCTCTTACGTCCTGTTTGTTAAATGTTCAAATTACATTGCTTGATGGTAAAGTGACAAGCATTTTACTTGCTTTGGGAAAGTTTATTTTCACAAATATTTTATTTTTAGGACTTCAGGAAATATTTTCTTTATTATTTTTATACACTAGATAGAAATCTATATTTGCTTGCAGGTCATCTCTTTTGCATTAATCTGATTTGTTTGTTGCATCAGAAACTTTGTAATCAAAGTTGATCACAGTGAACAAGTTGAATATAATATAAAGTGCTATTAGGATCATCTAAACTACACAGTGCACTTCTTTATGAATACCAGTGAACTAAAAAAAGCTATCTTGACAAAAAGTATGTTTGGTACTAATAAAGCTTCATACAGTGGTGTCTTGCCTCTGATAACCCTAAATAAAACCTCAAGCAACCAACAGCCTTCCAAAATGACCTAATCAGTAAATAAAACCTGTGTGTTTGTAACTTAATCTCTGCATAAATGCAGCTGTTCTGTGAAGGCTAGAGGTGCAGACAGGAAGAAATTTAAAGTGTTCATGATTCTGCAGTCCACAAACCTGGCATTTATGGAAGAGCGCAGGCAGGAAGGAAACTATATGAAATCCTCTGTAAACTGGGTAGTTGACACAACAAACATGAAAGAAGAGTTCTGATCAGATGAGGCCAAAACATTTAAACTTCTGGCCTACATGTCAGATTCAGAGAAAGTGATGTCCAAAGTGTGGCCCAGGGGCCATTCATGGCCCTTGGACTGATTTTGATTGGCCACTGACCACAAGTGAAGAATGAGGAAAAATGATGACCTCCAAAATTTGGAAATTGTCTGTTTTTCTTTTTATAAGGCAACAATCCAAAGCATTGTTTTGTGTTTTGAATCTCTAATATTTTATAAAAATGTTTATTATTGAGCAGGTGAAAATAAAAACAGGAAAAATTACAAGAAACTAATTTCTGCATTTTTTTTTGTAAATTTTGCGGCCTGTGAGTTGTTCCAATTTGCCAGTTGTGATCCTGGGGGTAAAAAGGTTTGGACACCACTGGTTTAGATTAAATAACTCAGGAGTTGAAAGACAGACTTCACTGGAATCACAGCAGGAATTTATGACTCACCAGAAGTTTTTATGTGGCCCTGTGGACGCCAAAAAGTGTGAGATAAGTGTGCTTAAATATTATTTTACTGATCAAATCTGCATTTTTATCTTTGAAAGTGCCAAATTACATTACTGTGAAAATATGTCTAACGTTATTTGATTTCAAGAGGTTTTCATCAAATGCAGAGAGAAGTTGAAGAGATTCTTGATTTCTATATGGCCCAAAATTAAAATTAGTTTGATGGATTTTAGATGATAAAAGAAAGAAAACTGATAGAGAAATGCTTCAAAAGACATGCAGGAAAAAAAGAATAAATACTTTTAAAGGGCACTGTTGACATGCCGGAAGAGGTGAGTGGGTGTTAAAAGCATAACCATGTGGTCTGATCATCTCCCATCCTTTCAGAGCAACTTAATCTTTCTCCAGTCGAAAACAAATATACATGTTCAACAGCTTTGATCTAGTGTTATATTTAACAACTTTAACATTTTTATTCCCTTTTAGAAGATGCATTTCACAATGGTTCCCAAACCCAGATAAGAAACACTTGATGAGTTAACTTCTAACGGGGTGGATGTTGAAACACAGCTGACTGAAAAGTTGCACGTACTGTAGTTTGCCCCTTCGACCTATAAACAGTGACAACCACAACAGGAAACATTTTTGTCTGCGCTTGCTACGCAGACGTCAGATGCATTAACACTCAACCCCTGACCTTATGTGAAAGTAAAAGTTTTCTGACAGAACGGGTCTAAAACCCGCTTTAGCGTGTATTTAGTTATTTCCTCTAACTACAATGTGAAGAATAAATCAAAAAGACTGACAAGTTTCCCTCACAGGAAAGTCCCTTCTTGTTTTGTTGGCAGCTGAATTTCAGAGGAACAGGTCTTGTTGAAATTCTGGGACGTGCGGCTTTCTTCAGTTCCTTTCTTCAAACGAGTCACAACTCACAGAAATCACCCAGCCGGGTATGAAAAGAGCAGTTCTGAAAAGTCAAACTCAATTAGTTCAATCTCACAGCTTCAAGTCAGTGACAAATACAGGATGCAGACAGTTCATAGAGGACATAGTGTTTGTTTCCTTTTCTAACAAATAAAACTAGTTTTACATGTTTAACTCTCTGCTTTTCATTACGTCCAACAAAGGTCATTTAGATCATCAGCAGTACATGCTACTTAATTAAAACCCTCATCAGAAACAGGGTGGGTCTTGTTTTTATCTTGATTTAGTCAGTGGTTCAGACTGGTCCTGTCTGACACACAATATGATTCACATGATGTTAATTAAATTGTACGAACACAGACAAGTGTCTGGCTCTCAAATGAGGCTGTGTTCAAGCGATTCGAATGCGCATGCAGTGGATTATTTGTTGCTGTATCTGGAGAAAACCTTTTTGACCTTAACACGTTTAAAATAAATACTTGTCAGCTGATATTACAAGGATAATTGAAGATTTGTGAAGTGAGGTCCTGTAAAAAAAAGTTATAAGTAGCTAATATCTCACATGCAGAAGATAATTCTCTTCTTTTAGTGTAAATCTAGATTATTTGTACCAAGAGGTGCTGGGTGTGAAGGGGGTTCTATTCTCAAAAACATGATGGTTGCTTATCTGATTGCTTTTTAAAACCTTTAAACTTTTGTCACGTTTGCAAATATGGGGAATGGAAATTAGTGTGCCATTATTTACCTTCCTGAAAATCAAACATAAATTGTTTCTGGTCACACTAACTGTCTGATGCAAATGTAAAAAAAAATGCATTCTTAACTTATTCCATTTGGAGTACTTGTTTCACTGGAGAAGACTTTTGGTGCTGCTCCACCTCCAAACTCCACTTAGACAGTAAATAATGGGTGTAATTCCTCCTCCAATGGGAATATGAGAACTGTTTCAGATTTTACCAAGTGTTCACACAAGCTGCTTTTATATTCTTTTTGTTTTACAGTGCCAGACGTCTGAAAAATCTCCACTACAGTTAGATCATGCAGATGTCTTACTCACAACAAACACTTTATTTTTATTAAAAGCTTTAAAAGTATGAATTTTATGTTTTACCTACTCAACAGTAAACATACAATATTTTACTAAAATGAATAGTCTTATTTTGTGCAATAAATGGTATTTCACATTTGCAATGTTGCAAAAAATGCATAAAACATCCTAAATTTAATGTATTTGTATTTTTATTACATATTTGTCTGTTCTCTTGCTGTCAGCATACACTAGTGGGGCAAAGCAAGAGGGTGCAACCCATTTTCTGCCCTAGCTCTTCCCAGTGAACAAGTAGAAGCAAGTAAAGCAGCTGTTGTTTTCCCAGTGGTTTTGTCCCAGTCTCCACTCGACAGACGCTGTCCTGATATGTCCTTACTGGTCTGTTCCCAGTGGGAGCACACAACGTACTCTTCCTCAGAACCTTAAAACGTGAATCCATTGTATTAAGATGCTTTCATTTGTACACAACCTTGTGTAATTATAAAAACAGGTATTGTGTTTGGACTTGTTGAAATTATCCTAATAACAGCCATGAACTTTTCCTTGCTTAAGATACAGAGGAGAGAGCAAGGCCTGGTTCCAGAAGGTCCAGATTAGAGCATTTATAGATCAGTTACTGAAAGACAAAGATAGTCAAGTCCTTTGGCATTTCATGGCCAAATTTTCATTCATTTCTTAACTGAAATATTAGTGAAAATATTTATAATAATAATAATCTGTGAAATTTTTCAGGCAAGCAGTGAGTTTGGGAAGGAAATTTATTAAAAAAACAATCACTAAGCAATTTGTCTAACCTTTTTTTCTGTTTTCTTTAAGCATCTCTAAAGTAAAAAAAAAAAATCAGAATTTTCAAATGAAATTAAAGTCCAATTTGATACATATACAACCATTTCTTTGTTGCAGCTGCTTGAATCTGATTACCATCAGAGATGACCATCAGTGCATCTAATTGATCTAAAGGTTGTGACTTGTGTTCTCTGAAAACAATTTCATTTGAACCAGTTGAGCTGTTGTCTTTCTGGAAACCATACAAATGTTTCTTTCATCAAAACAAGCTGGGACTGACCCAAGTGGACATAATTCAACCGGGCAGAGAAAATCACGTCCAGCAGATCAACAGTGGGTATCACAGGAAAAGAGGAGCTCTAAAGGAACTTTTTTCTTCAAAACATCACATGACTCTCCGCCTGTTTTTTTACTGTAAAATACTCTCTATAACTATAGTTAGATTTAGTACATGCCATCACCATTGTGGGGAGGTTTTGCCAAAGGTTTGTTTTGGATGTAGAGGTTTAAGGTGTTGGCTCTGGTTTAAATTCTTCCCCACCTACAAGACGGGGTAAAGTTTAAAGCATGCTGCTGTCTAAATATAATTATGTGTTGCAGGTGAAAGCTCCTCCTACATGTTTTGGTCAGTGCACTGATCACTGGTCACACCCAACTGTACAATGTTTTCCTACATTTGTCTGAAGAAGGAGTAGTCTGAGCAAACAGTTTAAGATTTTAAATACACATACAAAAACAACTTTGGTGAAAGCTGAGAAGGAGAGATTTAAAAGTTTACAACACAAGAGCGTTTAAGTGCCACATATAATCGTTTTACAGCTTTTCTTTTTCACTGAAGACAAATCTAGTGTTAGCAAAGTCTCCAGCTCAAATTTGAGTTTAGAAATTTAGGATTTATATGATTTGTCCAGTCTGAAGAAAGAGATCAAGGCAAATTTAAGTAGCAGCTTAGAAATCTAACAAACCGACATCCTACCCAGAGATTTAAAAGTGTGGACATAGTGAGAAATGAAATAAGGATGAAAAATAATTCAAAACATTAACGAATGTGTTTTGTTTCAGATATAATTTCTTCTCCAATTCTGATGCCCCAAGTATGTCTCTCCTTAATGCTTTATGTCTGGGCTATGTGATGTTCATGCAAGTCTCACATTTCTCCATTTATTCAGTCCACATTCACATGAGGGTTTAAATGAACTATAGCAAAGTAACTATCAAAACATTATTCTTTCACACCAGTCAAACTCTAATTTCCCCTTCCTTCATTTGGTTCAGACACGGAGGAAATAAATGATGGTGCTAGATTATGCCTAATTTTTGGTGAAATAAAGATCTTTATCATTTGATAAATATATAAATAACAGTTGCATTTGTCTCCATGTTCTGCTTTTTACTCCTTCCTTGAGCAATCTATCTACCCAAAACACAAATTTTTAGTGAAAGCAACAGAAATCTATCAATTTAGCCAGAGACTAAATGTTGTAGAGAGCTGTTACGTCACAATCCATTTAAAGCAGAGCCATTCTGTTTTAATTGCTGTGCCTCAAAAAACTCTTATTGTTTCAGTGGGCACTAAAAATTTATATGCATTTTCTAATTTGGAGATTTTGAGGTTCTCTGGCTCTAAAATATAATTATATTCATCCGTAAAGATCCGACCAATAGCAACATAAATCTCTAGTTCTTTTGTTTTTACAAACTCTGCCTTCAATGAGCAAGGGTTTTTTCTGTGGCTTTAGTTCTTTTATTAATTCTGTGGCCATAATTCTTATCCCTAAAAGTGACTCTCCAGTGAAAAGTGTTGGTGTCTGAGTCAGACTAGTGCAACTGCTTTAATCTAATTAGGAAAACCTAAAAACAGTGCTTTTCTTGGAGCAGATATTAGATTAGGGGCCAAAGAAACTGACTGTAACAAAATAAGTATCTTCATTTAGGTTTGTTTGTAATATAAAGGTTATATTTAACAATGTAAACATGTCCAGTGACTGAACAGTCAATCCTCATGCACTGTTATGAGTTTTAATACTACAATTTAAGACAGAAACTGTTACCTGCATAAAAACTGACTGAACTTTGAACACAGCTTTCCTAAAAGATCCAACTGCTGGGAATCCATATAAAAGCTGACCCTGGTATCTGTTTGGGTTTATGGGTTTTGTGATCTTAAGTCCTACTTTCATGTTTAGTTTTAGAAAGTTTTCTATACATTTGGAATCGTTTTGCTTCTTGTTTCAATTATCTGCACAAGCCAGAAGTAAGATAAATCTCCTTTTATGCAACATATGTAAACTTCTGTCTTCAGCTGTATACTACATGTGTAACTTTAACAATACAATGTGAAACTTAAACACAATTTAAAATAAGTTTTTGAGCATTTTGAATCAACATGGAATTGGAATAGGAATTATGGAGTTGTGTTTCTTTTTCTGCACCACGAGCAGTCAGTGGTGAAGCCAAAGAGAAGCCAAGGCTACTTTTCTCTACTCCACTTACATTTATCTTTTTATTTTTTTTCCCTATTTGGGTGGATTGCAATGATTCCAACTAGTGTGCAGGAATTATCTGGTCCCAGTGCCCCCGTTTTCCCCCTCTCGTTCCGCCCATGCTAGTACTGGGAGCACTAGGAGAACGCAGAGGGAGGGTGGGGGGGTTATTGTGACATAATTTTTTTTTTTAAAACATACACATTTATAGTAATGTATAAATATATAAATGTGTTACATATTTCATACTTAAACTCTCCATAGAAATGTTAGAAAGTTTGCCACAAATTGTGGAAAAGTTAAAAAAAAAAGCTGCAATATTTTTTTCCAGGTCAACAAAGTGGATCAGATTCAGAGACAGAAGCTGGTAAAAGTTGACAGTCTGGCCGTGTCCTGCCTCTCCGCTGTTGTTTTGCAGATGTTCATTAGCATGTAGCTAACCCCCTCCGGCTGGCAGCTCCGCCCCCTGCGCGGTGATTGGCGGGGCTGTTACTGGAGCTGTCAGCTCTGCTCCGGGAAGCTTCGCTCTCCTCAGTCCAGGCTGCAGCTTCACACAGGCTGACCGGGGGCCAGCGGCAGAAGCGCTCCCTTTTGTTAGCAGCTCCAACCGGATCCATGCAGGACGACGCCGTTTTTGGAAAATGATCATCTGTACGAGTAAAATGGAGTACCCCCTAATATCGCAGTGCAAGCGGGTCCAGAAGCAGGTAAGGCTGGGATTATACGTGTAAGCCTGGGAAGTCAAAACCGTTCATTCATTTGTCTCTCTGTCAAGAAAACGGCCTCCACTCTTTACAGGCGCTTGAAACGAAGCCTCCCTTTTCTTTTAATCGTTAATTACATATTCTCGTTGCTGTCAGTTGAACTGGAAGTTAGTTTGGTTAATTTGTTTTCAGATAGGAAACTTTGAAACAAAGTGTAAGTCTTAGACGCTGAAGTTGGCCTTCGATTTGGAACTTGTGTAAAGGGTTATTCCGCATCTTTATGGATAATCCGATCTTTAATGATCTCCAGATAAAAATCTAACATTTTTATCTGGACATCACAGTAAAAACCTACGTTAACGACACAACCTTCAAAAACAGTTTATAATTTATGTTGCTGTTATTGGTCTTTTCAAAGCCCAAAAAGGGCTATTTCATGTTTTTTAGTACCTCATGAAGGTTTTAAAGCCTCAACTGTCAGGAAGGTTAAACCCGGACTGACATTTGTCATTCTGACTATAGATTACTCAGGGTTTCATACAGTTTTAATTTGTGAATCCCTTATTCTATCACTCAAAACATAAACAAGGCAATTTAAAGCTATTTATAAGTATTTTTGCCCGTCTTTAAGTCAGAAACCACAATGGTTATGACGGGTCAAACCTAGAAAGGATTATGCTACAAGGATGAACCCGTTTTAAAAACACAGTTGTGAAATTGCAAAATCCGTATTATGAATGTGAGACCATAAGAAATTATGATTTAATGGATTATAAAAACCACAATAAACAGACATAATACTGATCAGACTATTTAGGACAACTTTTAATAATCATGAAACCTTTATTCTATAAGTGAAACAACAAAAAGGGGCAATTTGAAAGCTTTTTTTTTTTTTTTTTTTTTCAAAATTGCAGCATTAGGGCCAAATTAGATTTGGTCAACTATAAAAACCAAAGTAGTTTGACAGTCAAACCTTTACTGGATTATTTAACACCTGTTGTATATTCTTTGATATAGAAAACATTATTCTTTATTGTCAAATTAGCACAAGCATGAAATTTCTAATAGAATAGCCAAGCCTATGATGGACTACAGTAGTCAAATAAGTAAGGAAACTGTTTATGATGTGTTTTACCTGTGTTTTTTAATATTAGCACCACCCTATAGTGGATTAATTTTGAAAACTTGAAGCTCAATCTTGAGCAAAAGTAATCTATGCTAAGAAGAGTTTACAAAACCAATTGTAATATGAAAAATTATTCTATTAACCTTTTTTTTTTAAATCAATGCTTTTATAACATTAATCTCACAATGATGCAGTCTGTGGCTATTTAAGCTGATGTACAAATCAAAAACGGCTTCAATTTTGCATTTTCTTGTGTTCTTACAAACAAAATTTAAGTTTCTCATATCACAGACTGTATTTTAAAGAGTCTTTATGCGATGTTTAATAATTCAGTTCAGGTTTGATCAGTTTAAATACTTTAAACTGAAATTATAGCTCATTTTTAAAAAGTATGAAAGCTGCGAAATGGCCTTTACTGTCATTTCGAATCGGAACCCAACTTCAGCGCAGCAACGTTAACTGTAGCGGCTGTAGTTTGCTAGCGCTAGCAAACGAAAAATAGGCGAACCGAACTTCTAACGTTAACATGGATGGCTCAGGAAATGGGTCAGAAACTCAGATTAAACACTTCAAGTGACCGGATGATGTTTATTTGGTTTATTTCTGGCTTCCTCGCCATTAAAGTGGTTTTTCATCACCAGCCGTTAAAATGTCACGTAAAGCTCGAGCCTTCTGCGTTGAGACGTTAATCGGAGAGTTGATCTAAAAACGGCTGTTTTTATAGAAGAGGAAACAAGGACAAGATGTTGGGAGCTGGGTTTCGATGACAGAAACGTCTCCTCTACTGTACCGTCTTCTTCTTCCTTTTTTTCTTTTCTTTTTTTTTCTCCCTTCTGTCATTTTAAAATTTGAGGCCGAGTGTATTTTGAATTTTATTGCGCTGGAGATAAACGAGAAACGGCTGGGGACGTTTCTGTGGATGAAGCTGCAGGTGAAGGTGACATCATCTCAGGGTTTGAGGAGGAAAAGAGGTGTTTCAGTGTGGTGTGAAGTAATGCAGTGCCATTTAATTACTGCTGTTTTATATGCATGAACAAAATAATGTGATAATTGTGTTAAACCACGTTAACAGACTGATTTCTCAGCTGTACGGCAGCCCTTGTGAGCGTCCTTATTGTGCTGTTTTTCGCCTGAACTGGACTGCCAATCAAAGTTGTTTTTCTCCTCTGAGTGTTGTTTTCCGCTTTGCAACAGAAAGGGGGCGCTGTGCCGAACGCAGTCCAACAAAGACATGTTTTTGCTGCAGATTGTGGAGTACAGAAATGCAATAAAACAGACAGCCTCGCGAGCTGCAGTTCTGGTTTCATTTCAGCATGTGCCACTTTTTCTCCTCTTTCCTTTGTCTTCACAGTTCCTCATCGCTGATGACATATAACTTCATATTTCATTTTTAAAGAGCTTCTTGTGTTGGGGAATAAACTTCAATAAGTATAGCCTTTTATCAGTGAAATCTTCCTTGCTCTACCTACCTGCCTTGTTTACAGTCAGATATAATCACTCACTGATGTATATGGGTTTATTTAGTTCTTTGTTTCTCCTGGCAGTGCTGCTCCAACCCCCCTCCTTTTGCTCTGTGCAGCTGGGTTGTTTTGCATTACTCCTTGAGTTCAGGTTGCAGAGCCAAAATCTGTCCCGAGTTCTTGTTTCCGGAAAGGAGGAAAGGGGGTGTTAATGTTTTCTGATAACGATGGGCAATCTCTCCAAGATCAGTCAGAATGCAGATTGAATGTCCCTCCCTTGTATCTGCATTATTCACTCTTAGAAAGAAAGCTTGCGTCATTCCTCCATTTCTTTGTGTGTCATCTTGGACCCTTGCTCCTCTTCATATTGCAACTTGCACAGGGCTGCTGTTTTTCTGCCAGTGATCAAAGCTTGTCTTTGTCTGCATTTACCTATCCTCCCCTCTGTGACGTCACCCATGTTTTTCATTTCTCTTCTTCCTCATGCGACCTCTCCGATCAACACACAGTGTCATTAAGTAGAAAGTGTCAGCCCTCTCACAGATTAAGTTTATTTGCACACTTCTAAATGTTTAAGATCACCAAACAGAACCAAAATCTATTAAAATGTTAGTTTGTAAATTGTCCAGTTTGTTAAACCAATAATTAGTTGGGATTATCCACATTTTTGGTCTGATTACTGCCAGACATAGACATTTAATTATATATAAAACATGTCTAATTTTATAAAGTAGGTGATTATACAGAAGTGGAGAGAACATAAAAATTAATGAGTTCACAAAAGAACACACAACAAATCCTTATCAGTGCAGACTTTACTTACCTCTGATATTAGCAGTAAAACATGGTGGTGGCAGTGTGATGATCTGGGGTTGTTTTGCTGCATTAGGGCGGGACGCCTTGCCTTAAGAATGTTAATCACAGGCCTTAAATTTTGTCATGGCTCAGCCTGTCGCAGTAAGCAATAAATCAATGAATTAATCACATGATAAATTTAAAAAAGCTCAATTTCCATTGGCTTCACTTGTTTTTTTTTTCTTGTACCAAAACTGGATGACAAAAGTTTTCAGGCTGGTGCTTTGGTCTCAACTAGCCCCTCTTTTTGAAGCACAGAAACTTCATAATTCATTTTATTTATTGTTTTATTTGTTTTGGACATTTAAAATGTATAGCAGTTACAGTTTTAAATGTTCTTTCGAATTTAAAGCTTATTGATCTTTGAGAGAGTGTGCCATTACCATTATAATATTTGGAAATGGTATCAAAACAACATTATTGTTTATCACAATAACTTCTGGGACAATTTATCATCCAGCAAAATGAGTTATCATGACAGGCCAGATTATTTAATATCGTATTGTTCTTTTTTTGCTTTTTTGTCAACCAAAAGACTAGGTCAACTCTGTGCAAACAAGCTTTTAAGCTGGAGCTATATGCAGTGTAAAAAGACCCACCAACAGACAATTTACCAGGTCCCCATCCAACTCTTATAATAACATGTTTTTCAAAAGGACCAAAATTCAATTGAAGGTGGCATTAAAAAGATCTTAAAAATGTACTTTCTCACTAACCCTGCAGGGGAGCAATGGGAGTAGGATTTATGCTCTCTACTAGAAAATCCGTCCATCCTTGATCTTAAGATGTGCTCAATCACACCTGGGTTAATCAGCAGGAAAATGATCCAAAACACACAACTCAAAAAAACAAAGAAAGTCCTAGTCAAAGCACAAACTTCAATCAAATGGAGATGCTGAGCAGGTTGCCTAAAATATAGCAGAGAAGGACAAAATTCCTCATTAGTGATGTAATTGCTTCCAATAGTCACACAGAAATGGGGTATTTAGTTTATTTACCAGCTTGTTTTCTAAATCAAATAGACATTTAATTTGATTTAAATTTTACATATTGACTCAGGTGATCTTTGCAACATTTGTGACAGGAAATCTACAAGGTGGCCTTTTTTCTCAGCTCTGTGCCGATGACCTCTTCAGAGTTTGGAAATTTTTGAAGTCTGTTGTGATCTGAGTATTTAAACACTTTATTATTCTGATTAAATCACAACAGATATTTAGGTTTGGTAACCAGAGTGTGCTTTGTAATGCACACACAGCTGTCTAGATGATTTCTCCTTGTTGTTTGATGCATCCTCCCACACATGGTTCTCACTTCTTATTTTTTTTCTTCTTGTGTGGGTGTGTTTTTTTTCAAGTAGTTAGGCAGGCAGGCAGTAGGGAATACTTTATCAAAAAGTCTCATTTGTTTTTATCCAGTAAAGATCAACATAGTCTTTTTAAAACTCCTTTTAAACACAGTAAGAATGACTTTCATGAAAGCTTTTCCCCAATGGGTGACTGCATCTTTCATTTTGCTGCTGTCAGCAGACAGATGTTGTTTAAGAGGTAGGATGTGTCATTTCCTGTTTTGTGAATCCTCAACTTTACTGTAGTTCCTGTTTCTGTCTTGATTTCTCTGTCAGACTTTGTCCAGACATGTTAGAAATTAAAACCCAACCCCCAATTTCCTAATCAATTACGTGGGATGCCAGTGATGACTAAGACCATCTCCTCACCCGGTGTAAGACCAACTTTTGACACTTGTGTTGTTAAATCAGATTTCAAAATCACATCTATGGACTCTGGTATTTGGAGGATTTGTTACTTAAACTGTTTTTCTTTTAACTACTACACTAACACATTTTGAGTAGATCTCTAATCTCTTGTCTGAAACTGCTACTTTTAGTTGAAAGTTATTGTACATAAATTTATGAGACTATTGCCAACAGCGGCTACTTCCTTGGCTATTCTGAAGCCAGATATTGATCAGATTAATGTTTAGCTGGCACTGGAAAATGAAAAAGAGACCAGTCATTTGCATAGCACTGGAGAGGCTAACAACTAGCATGTTGATGCTGGTGGCTGCACTCTGTGTTTTCTGACTTCCCGTTTCATTTTATGATTGATTTCACAGGAATAGTGTGTAAACACATTCACCTATGCAAAAGCAAGAAGTGCTTTACACCAGAGTTAGTGTAACAGCACTGGCATCTGGTTGTTGATCACATGATTTGTGTGATGCAATAAATTTGTTTTCATTGCAGGTTTGCAAAAAACATTCATTTTGACAGTTTAAAAAAAACACGTCATCCTGGAGCAAAAACTTTATCAAATAAGTTTGGGGTTTTGTATTTGTTAATCATATTTTCACAATTTTATAGTTAATGGAAACATAGCTATTGAGTCAAAATGTGAAAGCCATAGATTATTTTCCTTTCACTGAAGAATTATGCACCATTTTGTGAAAATCTGTCACTCAAAATCTGAATAAAAGACATTGATGTGATAAAACATGGAAAGATCTCAGAGGTAGAATAGTTTCGCAAGCCTTATAAATTCTGCCAGAAATTTCTCAATCAGCCGCTTCATGTGTCATTTACCCTAAAAATGGAAGTGTGATCACTCAACATCGCAATCTGAGCCCATTCTACCATGAGGAGGAATAAAAATAGGCCCGTGCCTCCCGACATGTTAGGTCCTTGAGAAATGAGGCGTGTTTTCTGCAGCGCAGGCCTCTAAAATGCTACTTGGAGCAACACTGCTCCTTTCAGCGATCCGGCCAGCTAGCGCTCCATGGAGCAGTAACCTAGATTCAGCAACCAGGCATGCTAATCAGTAGCGCTTGTGTTCGAGGAGTAACACCCATGTGAATGCGCTCTTATAGGCCTTTGATTGGCAGCCACCTGTGCTCTCCACATTCTCCTCCTTCACTATTTCTTGTGGGCGCCGACAGGCTGGAGAAGGTCAGGGTCTGTGCCTCAGCATGTTTCTTCCAACTCCAACCCCCTTGGTTACTTTGCTTTTTATGAAACTATAAGATGAAGGTATTGTTCATAAGGATCGAGCTGGTTACCGAGTCCTTTAGGACTATTTGGGTCATGAGGTGGAGCTTACTGCAGGATCAGGCAGGAACCATCATCCCCTGTAAGGAGAAGTGAAATACCACATGGAGCTTTGAGCCAGATAAACATGCTGCTGAATACTAAAGAGCCATACGGGGCTTAGGTGCAAAAACAAGCTCTGCCACTCTCTGTTCGAACCGATCGCAGAGCTGTGAAAAAGTATTTGCCTCGTTTCTCCACACAAACTATTTTTATCTCAGGCAAAGATGATATGAGTAAATAAAGTACAGTTTTTAATTTGCTTCACTTGTTAAGAGATGAAGCCATCAGAAACCTAGGATGAAAAAGTAATCACCCCATACGTCTATACCAGAAGTGTTCTGTGCCACTGAACCGCCATTTTGGTAGGCAAGAGGAAAGCATAGATGAATCATAGCTAGGAGACCAACAACACGAGTGCTCAAAAATTGTAATCAAGTAATAGATGTAATATACTTATTGCTTATAAGTTGGATAGGAATGAGGTGAGCGATAGTGCCAAGCTTGTTTATTGTTGTCATAGCAACTGCCATGAGAGTTAGTCACTGATACCTACCAAGATGGCTGCCAGCCACAAAGTTTTCAGAAGTGTGACATTAAATGAAAACTACTGTATGTAGCCTCTGACCGTCAACACAGAAATGTTTTTTTATAAAACAGGAAAGATTTTAACTGTTCTCCCCTCCACCCACAGAGAAATAATACTTTTTTCTCCTGCTAACAAGGGTAGGTTGGTTTCGCTAGCTTTTATTTCCTTATTAAAATAAAATTTCAGTTTTCTTTTTATTTCCTCTTTTTTTATTTACTTTATTTGTTTCTCTGGTTTAAGCATGAGGCAGAACAGACAGTCAGATCCAGATAAAGTTGGAAAGTTTCTGCATTTGAAGTTGAAGTGAAAGTGTTTGATCTATCCAGAAGAACTGGATCTGTGGCTCCTGAACACCTTTTCCTAGAAGCCGTTATATCATGCAGAGAGAAGGAAAACAAGCTTATAAATGTCTACCGGTGAGGGCCGGCCAGCCTCCAGCTCTACATGGGTCTGTTTCTGTTGGCCCCGGGCCCCTCAGTGCAGTCGCTCCCATGTTTGAATCTTTGGCCTCCTCCACGTCTTCTATCCTCACCGAGCTTCCCTCTTTCAGGCCTCCTCCGCTCAGTCTTCATATTAATTTCTTCATCTTTGCTTCCTCAGTGTAAAGCCCTTTTTCAAATGGCATTTTTTGTGCGTTTTCTTTTTTTCTCTCTTACTTTCAGCTTTCAAATAAACAAGTTAATCCAGCGTCTCGACTTCATTAGATGAACATCAAACAAACTAAAGAAGCCCCTCTTTCTTGTGAACACCATCCGACTTTGTGTCTGTTAAGATGTTGTTTGGGTGCTTGTTGAATTTCTAGGAAAAATAAAGTCAGGAATGCGTTAACTCTCCTGTGGCGCCGCCGCTCTTCTTCCAAAACGGCCCCTCTTCCTCTGATTTAAGGTGTGGAACATGACTCCGGTCCAAAGCGCAGCCTGAGCCCGCCGTCACATGATGCTGGACGCTCCAACTTCATCTTGAGCCAAGGCGTTCCTGGCTATAAATCTAAGGGCCGTAATGGCTGTGAAGGGAGGATGGCGCTGTTCTGCTCATGTTTACGTCTGTTTCGTTGGATTTAGAGGAAGAGTTTCTGGATGCCTTTTGGTTCTCGTAGTAGTGGTGGACATTTATTGTATCGTTCAGCATTTATCATAAAAAGTTGGATTGCCGTAATATATTTTGGATATTGATGGTAAATAAAAAACAAAACTGATGGTATTATTAGAAATGTTATTTTTGTTGAGTTCTCCACTATTTGTTCCATGGAAACATCAATAAATGTCATCAAATTAGAAATTGTCAAATTTCAGTCACAATGTGCAGTTTAGTGAAGTAAATCACAATTTTTAATCAACTTTCTGGAGCTTTTATATTATGTTATAATGATATTTCCTGGAGTGTTGCTTTGATTATTCCTTTAATCTCCATATAAACCATTCAACTGAGCAAACCGCCTTGGTGGCCTTAGCTCCGCCTTCGAGACGCAGCTCTTCCTCTGAGTTGCAGCTTCCAAGCATCCCCCACACAGCTCCTTCAGACTAGCCAGCAGCAAGCAGCAAAGACAGGGTGGAACTTCACATCAGCTGAGCTACTTCTCCATGCAATGCTGGTAAAATGCCGTTAAAGGGTTAATAGAGGAGCCATGTTGTGATGGCTTTGTGAAGGCAAAGTTTAAGAAAGAGCAGATGTCTCTGTCTGTCTAATGCATAATATTCAGTTCTTATAATAACTGAATTTAACATAATTGCTTGATTATGCTATAAAAGGGCACTATGTACCTGGAAAACAACCTTTTAAGAAACACGTATTGTCCTAAAGAAGCTGGGAATGTTGTGTTTGTGGCGTGATGAGGCTGTGCCTGCATTCACAGCCATACAGTTACCTAAAGCAGTAACAATAAATACTTTTAATTGTCATAATCTTTATTGTTATTAAAATAACGTCAGTCCGTATTGCCCACCCCTGTCTCCTAACTGCGATTCTCTGAATTATTTTGTCTTAACAGTGAGAAAAGCAGATCCTCTTGATTGGATTTTGTTTCATAGTTACTTCCTCGGCCTCGTTTTTCTGAAACAATGGGTGGATCGTACTTTGTTCCACCGTTTCCCCGCCACAAACCAACCTGCCGTCTGTTTGTTCTGGTTTCTGCAGGTGATGGTGAACGGCGAGAAGGAGCGCATGTCCTTACTGAAAGCGCTGGTCAGCAGGGGGAGCGTGGACGCCGTGTCGCAGCAGATGGCGTCCCACCCCCAGTATCTGGAGAGCTTCCTGCGCACCCAGCACTACATCCTGCACATGGACGGCCCCCTGCCGCTGCCGTACCGCCATTACATCGCCATCATGGTGGGTGACCTGGCTGCTGACGCCGGAAGCGCTCGGCTTCAGCTGCTCCGTTCTTTTAAAACTTCCCCTCTGAACGCCCCTCTACAGGCGGCGGCCCGTTATCACTGCAGCTACCTGGTGTGCCTGCACTCGGCCCATTTCCTGAGGGCCGGCGGGGACCCCCTGTGGTTGCAGGGTCTGGAAGCGGCTCCACCTCGTCTTCGCCTGCTTGACCACATAAACAAGGTGCTGGCCCACCAGCCCTGGCTCGCCGCCTGCTCCCACATTCAGGTACGCAGAGCTTATTCAGCTACGCTAAGCTAACGTAAACTTAAATCCATCGTCTGGAATGGAAACACTGAGACACAAGAGGCTCATGGTAGCTCTGGAGGAGCTGCAGAGATGAATAATCTTAGTTGTACACTGTTTTTCTCCAGCAAGAAGAAATTAACTGTTGAATAAAAGTTAAATTTAAAGCTACAGTGTGTAACTTTCACAACAATATGGTTTTTACATGTTTTTCAGAACTGTTTTACATAATATTTAACGTGAGACAGATAATCTATGAAAAGATCAAACTCCTCCACTTCCTGCCACGACTCGCTCCCGGTCAAAAACAATAAACAATACATGTTTATGTTTGCGCTGCTGGATGTGTCAGTGGTGACAAAACATCTTACCGTTTCAGGAAAAACGTTTTTCTGCTGTTATCAGTGGACATGCTAACGAGCCTTAATTATTTTCAATAATTAATTTATTAGTTTTCACTTCAATAATGCAGACCCATTCAATAAACTCAAATACTATTGAAAGTCCATCACATCATATAACCTTTATTTCTCCTAATTATAATATTCTGATAACAAATAATAAAAACACAACATTCAAAATCTGAATATTTCAAAAGATCATGTTTGCTTAATAGAAAGCATGTTTAATACCTCCAAAAGGTCGTTACTTTCTAATGTTATCCTTTAATCTCTATATTAATGTATTAAACACGTTCCAGCCAGTCAGATCAATCAGCGCTGAGCGTCTTGTTTTGCCTCTGCGTCGTCTCCAGTCGCTGCTGAAGGCCGGTGAGCAGTGCTGGTCGCTGGCCGAGCTGGTGCAGGCCGTGGTCATCCTGGCCCACTGCCACTCGCTCTGCAGCTTCGTCTTCGGTTGCGACACGGACTCGGACCTCGCCCACCTCGCCAAATCTCCCAACGGCACCCCACCGACCTTCTGCCCCTTTGATGCTGCCAACGGCAACGCCAACGTGCCTCAGTCGCTCAGGCAACCCTCCCAACATATCACACGGCGACGGGTAAGAAACCAGACTTCAGCTGGAGACACAAAATGTTCATTAATGCCGTCATAAACAATTGTTTTAGTAATCAAGTAATATGTTAATTATTCTGATGATTAGTTAAGTAATCGAGTAAGAAATCTGATTAAATAGAATATTGGTAAATAATGCCAGAACAGCAGCGTCAATATTGGCCCAAATGTTCATATTTGTTCATTCCTAACAATTAACTTTCTGTAGCTTAGAAAATTAGAAACTGTTGCAAATGAACATGAAGCAATTCATTTAAACACGAGAGCATCATGTTCAGCTTTAATCGTATCGAAGGAAAGACGTATCTGAACTTTTATTGTTTTCTAACTGGCTTAAGCTGCTTGTAAATGAAAACATGAGACATGAAAGCCAGTGTAACTGATTCATTTTCACCCTTTAACTACTTAATAATTCTGGCCAAAGACTTTTTGTTCCTTAGCTAATAAATGTTTTTGTTTTACATACTGTGTCATTTGTGACATTAGATGATTTCTTATCACAGGAGAAGATATGTTGTAAATATAGAATAAGTATTTTCACCCTGGGTTCGTTTTCGTGCCAACAGTCTTTGGACTCGAGCTGCGACATGGTTTGCCTGAAGGAGAGGATCCAGAAGTCCCAGGATGAGCAGGAGAAGAGAGAGGAGCGTCTCCTGCAGGCGCAGACTCTCCAGCAAACAGGTAGCAGAAATAAACAAACCACCAGTCAGAGCGGCTGTTGACGCTCTGACGGCGCTCCGGGGTGTGAAATCTGAGCGAAAGCCTCACTCTCCCCTCCACTCCGCTCACCGACTCCCCTTTTTAGATGTGGAAGACGAGGAGGAGATGCTGAGCTTCGCAGATCCATCACGTTTCATCACAGACCCCGACTTCTGCTACCAGGAGTTCGCCCGGCGTGACGAGGATCACCTCCAGGTGCTCAGAGTTCAGGTGAGGCCAGGCATCGGTAAACGAGAGAGTCAGCGCCGACACTGAATGCAAACATTGATCTGTTTGATCAAACTTCCTGTATCCCTAAAAACAAAATATTCTTCTAATGTATTTATAAATAAAAAATGTATTTATAAAATGTATTTATGAATAAAAAATAATGGAAAATCTAAACACTATACTGCTTTTATAAAATTGTCAGACTGGTTTACGTCTTTATGGCTCTTATTAAATATTTTGGATGGTTTTAATCATTCAGTCTTCTGTAAATTGATGGATTTGTCTCGTTATTTTTTATTTTTTTCAGGATTACTCCTGGGAAGTACACGGCTTCTCCCTGATCAACAGATTGTACTCGGACATCGGTCACCTGCTGGACGACAGGTTCAGGAGCGTCACTTCGCTCCCGTCGCTGCACAGCTCCGACCTGAAGAGAGCCATCTGGAATTACATCCATTATGTGTTAGGAATACGGTAAGACCACCAGCACACCGAATTAAAACCAAAACATGAGCTGCTCCTGCCCATCTACTAGATAAACATCTGCCGACTTTTGTTCTCAGTTATGATGATTATGACTACGTGGAGGTGAACCAGCTGCTGGAGCGAGACCTGAAGCTGTACATCAAGGCTGTGGCCTGTTTTCCAGACGTCACTAAAACCCCGGTGTGTCCGCTGAGCTGGACTCTGCTGAAAGCCTCAGAACGGGTAAGACAGGATTTCACCGGCCCGTTACAGAAACCAGCATTTACAGGTTCTGCCTGAAAAAACTAAATTCATTTGTACAAAGATCTAACTTCAGAAGCAGCTTTTCAAAGTCGACTAGCAGATTCTGCTTTTTTTGATTTTCTGAATTATTTCAGAGATTAATTTCTGATTGTAAAGTTCCCTTTTAGTTCCAAAATTATACTCAAGTAAAAGTAGGACGACTTCAACTTTTGTTTACTTAAGTAAAAGTAAAAAGTAGCCGTAGGCAAAATGCAGCACAATATTTTTTTCTAAGTAATTTCCTTTCAATGTAGAACAAAATTTATCAAAAACTGCCGGTGTGTCCTTTCATTATCACCTGAAATCCACAATATTCTCGCTTATCGGGACAATTTATGTCCAGCTGAATTTGATATGCTTACAGGCGTATTTGAGGAGAAGCTCTGTCTTCTTCTTCTGTCCTCAGATACACGTCAACTTGCTGATCATGGAGGCCCGGCTGCAGGCGGAGCTCCTCTATGCTTTAAGAGCCATCACTCGCTATATGATTGCCTGAATCGCTGGTTCAGACGGCCTCCGGTACAGAGAGACCCTGAGAGGATGAGGAACGTTGAACTGCGGTGACGCGGGGCGGGAAGCGGCAGATTCAACGTGTTTATTATGCCCCTTCCCCCACATCTCTCACCTTTCTCAGAAAACATCCTGCCTCTCTAAAGGTTATGTGCAATTATTAGTAGTAATTTTAAAATTTCCCTGTTGTCTTGTGTTCCAGTTGAGTCTGTGAGAAGCTGCTTGTTTGCAGCATTGTGTTATCAGTTGCCAACACTCCTATTTTTTCATTAGACAAGTCTCCTTTTGTATTAACTATGCTTTCCCAAAAAAGAAAAAAAAAAGTTTTTTCTTGTACAAGGTGAATGAATGTTAATGGAAGATCAGGGGCTTTTTGTTTGTTTTTTGACAATCTTTGTCAATTTTGAAGGATGTTTCTTGGACTGTGACGCTTCCTGACATTTCGTATTGATTGCTGGTCGCGAACAAACAGCCGTGACTGCTGGAAGTTATCACATCACTAGTTTCTTTTAATAAGCACTTTTATAAACTTTATATATTTATAATGCAATGTAGCTCATCAATAGACATTAAGACAAAGTGTGTGGGTCCGACACCTTTCCTCTCCTCCTGTTTTTGCGTTTCCGCCCCAGGTTTCTGAGAAGGTACTTCATTTGAGACGTTTTTCTTTCTTCCTACTTGCGTTACGTGGAGACAGAAGGAATTCAAAGATGGTGGACGTTTGCAAACAAACTCCTCTGAGAAGCTGAGCCACTCGGATCACGCCTAATATCGAATGTTATTGGCAACATGTTACAGAAGAGTTTTGTGAATGAAAATTTGTGTTTAAGTTGCATGTTTGGGCTTTTGCATTTGTACTTTTTCAAGTCTAATTAGGTTAAAACTCATCTAAATTTTAAAAGCAGAAAATAAGCAAACTGTATCCTTTTTCAGTTTTTTTTTCTTATTATTTTTCCATTTTTCTGTACATTTTTGGCGTTATTCCCTTTGTGTTGTTCTGTGTGTGACTGTAGGACCTGCTCGTTGCGCTGCAACCTGAGTAGTCGTAGACGTTTCACAGACTGTAGTTAGATTTAGCAACGTGCAGAAGAAACAAGTGCATATCGACTTAAAACAAAGCAAAAGCGCTGTTATAACACAGGTGCCTTTAGGCGGAAAAAACTGGAGCGCTGCTCAAGTGGAGGGTTGTTACTGCTGGAGGCTGGACCAGGGCATCGATCGGCGGCTTCTCCAAGTGGAAACGGATGTTTTCTTTTCCCCCCGCAAGACGGTCGGCGTCATTTCCGATGAATATTACGCCCGTTTTTTTTCACCTTCTGCTAAGTCCCAGCATCTCAGCAAGAGCCTTTGACACAGATGGATGTTAAAAAAATGGACAACTATATTTAAAACAAAAAGTACAAAAAAGAGAATAAGTGCAAAGACAAAAAATGTTTTTGAAAATGTAAACATGTTTTCTATAAAAAAAAAAAATTATCATCAAAACAAACCGTCTTTTGTCTTTCTTTAGAAACCAACTCCCATCTGCAAACTTCCACTTTTCACAGACGGAGCTTTAAAGCATGTTTACAGCTTCAGTTTTTATGTTGTGTGTTTGGACTGACTCCAAGTTCCACCATGTTTATCTCCAAGCAAACATGCTAACTTATCAGAGATATTGCTGCAACCACATCAGCCACTTATCAAATCTTCAAGGACTGGAGTTTCAGAGTTCCCAAGAAAGTCCGGAGAGTTCTTGCTCAAGGATAACAAGCAGGCAGGTGTGAGTCAAGAAGGGCGGCGAAGAGGCCACGTGTCTCCAAAAAAGAAAAACACAGCGAGGACAGATTGAGAGGAAGAAGCTGGAATAACGCTTCCCTTTTCAGGTCCAATTTAAAGGAACATACCAGCAAATTGATAATCCATATATTATTAATCCCAACTCTCAACTAATGTGTTTCTAGTTTTGATTTAAAGGAAGTCAGTGTTTTGGCAGTTTTGTGGTTTTCTGGAAGTTTGTTCAGATTAATGTTCCAGATTAGATGCTGAATGCTGTTTTTCCATGTTTGGTTCTGGTCTTGGGGATGCAAACCAGAACCAGAAGACCTGAGTGGTCTGCAAGGTTGATGCAACAGCTCCAGGGGTGCCTAAAGTGAGTAAAGTGGGTCCTAGAGGGCCAACATCCTGCAACCTTTTCAGCATGTCAGTGTTTTTCTTAGGCCATCTAACGAGCCACCTTTGGATCCAACTGTGCTAAACCAGGGAAAGACCTAAAACATACAGGATGACGACCCTTGAGGGCCTACTTTGGGCACCACTGATTAAAGTCAGATCCATACATTTGAAAAAAGATAAAACACGTGGATGAGTTTCTCAAATTTTTGTTGGGGACATTCCTCCTTAAATATTAGAAATGTTCTTCAGGTTATAAAAGGCCGACTTTGTAAACATCTTTATGTGTCTCTGAAGTTTCAAGTCCATCACTTCAGGCTTGATCACTAATTTCTAGCTGTAATAAGAAAAGGAGATCGGGATTTCTCTGTTGCTGCTCCTAGTCTATGGAATAATCTACCCTTTTAGATTCGATTTGCCCACAGTCTGGGTCTGCTCAGATGAAAAGTTGCCTGTTGACACAAAGAAATCCCAGCTGTTCAGGTAAAACTCAAACCAGTCCAGTACTCTGACCTCAACTTCAACAATATGTGAAAGTGAAAGTTGATGTTTGTAGCTGCAATGAGTGAATTTTATAAACACGGTTAAGAAACTCGAGATCGTAATCTGATGGGAGCTTGAGGTCTATCGTCAAAATAAAAACCTGAAAACCTGCCATCACTGATTAACCACACGGGTTTCAATCAGGATCTGATCCAGAAATCCAGTAAATCTCTGAGTCGGTATTAAGTTGACTTGTTCCTCAATAAAATCCTAACATTTGTTCAAAACTGCAGTAAATTATAAATGCAGGGACATTTGAGAAACCATGACTCCACTTAGATACAGTTTCATTTAAAATGTACATTTTATGTTGATATAAACAATTATATTGAAGTGTTCGTTCCATCCAAAAATAAATTTATATAAATTCTGTTTATCTCAGAAAGTAACGGAAGTAGCTGGAGCAACAGCGCCCTCTGGTGGCAGAACTTGAAGTCTGCAGCGTCACAAATAAGTGAAACCGAGTGGGTTAAACATTTTATTGAATTGATTTCTGCATCTCTACTTTTATCTCTGGCTGACTTTACAAAGTGTAAAGAAAAGAATAAGAAGAAAAAGCAAAGAGGAGGGAAAAGAAGAAGAAAAAGAAAATATTCACATGACTAAAAAACACAAACATTAATTGGCTTCTGCACAACCCATCGCCCCCCTAAGCCAACTTTTAATGCTGTAACAAATGAGGGCAAAGTTAAAAACATACAGGAACTAACTGCTACTAACAATAACAGAAGAATAAGAACAAGCAGAAAGTTGTGTCAGCGTTAGAGGAGATACAAGCCAGGTAATAAACACCACAGAGGCAGCGACCGTAAACTGGAGTAAAAGAAGCTGCTGCAGCCTCTCAGCTGGAAATGATCAAAAATTAAACAAAAACAAGCCTGGTTGCATATATGACTAAAATAATTACTGATATTACTGAATAAAAATCATGCAAAATTAAAGAAGTTTGACTCTTGCTTCCAAGTTATATTGTACATGTAAGAACAAAACAAAAAACAAAAAGTTCTGGTTGCATCCTAAGTATCATAATCCAAAATACAAAGGCCCTGATATGCACCGACTGCACTGATATCATCTAGCACCATTATTTGCAAAAACAAAAACAAGATATAAAACATTTGTGGGGAGGGAAAGAAGGAGAGTGCTTTAACGTGTTTTTTTTTGTTGTTGTTTTGTTTTTTAACAATGTTATTGTGAAAAAATGAGTTCAAGATGCAGAGTGGGTGTTATTTCTGAGCACAGAATCAACAAAAACAAAATGTTAAAAGATGGGAGATGACAGGTTTAAGTATTGCTACAAAGCAACATCGTGCTCTAGTGTTTTGGATTTTAAAAAAAAGAAATAGTACAACTAGCACTGACACGCATGGCTAAACAACTAAACATGAATACTCTTCAAAGAAAAAACAAAACAGGAAGTTTAATTTTAGATCACCTCATTTTTTTCTCAGAGGAAATTAAATCAAAGACATGGCATGTTGGGTTTCCAGTCTTGTGCAAAATAAATATCCGATTAAATCTGCACGCAGCAGTTTTCCTGCTTCTGAGAGGTAACTCGTTTTGAGATGAGAACCGACGTAGATTTCAGAGTAAAACAAATAAAAAGCGCGAGGCAGGTGGCTGGGAATCGGAGCTGACATGATCATGTATTCGCCTCCTTTATCTTCCCACTAAAAAAATGAAATAAAAATCACATTACAGGTCTGCTTTGCGAAGCGTATGTACACAGAAGATGCTGTGTCAGGCCCAAGCGCTTTTTAAATGCCATGCAAATATTAGTGTTCCTTTGGTTATGTAAAAAAAAAAAAAAAATCCACATGCATTTTGTCCTTTACAAAAATAAAAGTATAGAAAAATCACCATTAAAAATCTGAGAATGCTTCTTCCAATGTAAAAAAAAAAAAAAAATCATTTGTCATTAGTAATATACGTATTATAATATTTGATTTATCATCTCTACCTAAATTGTATATTAAAACTATAATGAAATATATTCTTTTCTGGTACCTTTCACACTGTGATTTAATTGATTTTATGTTAGTATTTAAAAATTAAAGTGTGAGAGGAGACTCTTACAGTTTTGCAGCGCCTTGTCAAAAATACACATCCTTTTAGAAACGTTTCCACGTTTTGAGGCGCTTAAACCACAAACTTAAATGTTTTGTTGGGATTTTATGTTAAAAAAAATAGAATAAAGTTGTGTAAAAAAGTGATCATGTAAAGTAAATAAATCTGAAAAGTGTGGCATCTTTCCTCAAATGTCAATTAATCTGCAATTGAAACAGAAAAAGTGTTGTTGTTTTTTTGGCATATTTTTTTGGGGTCTACACACTGAAACGGGAAAATTTGAGTTTTAAAATTTATTTTAAAAATTATAATTTCTGGATTTTTAAAAACAGAAACCGACAAAACAAATTTGCAGAGATACCAAATGCTAAGTGTCTTCAGATGCAGGAAATTGGTTGAGACAAAACTAGAACTACAGCA